TATATATATATATATATATATATATATATATATATATATATATATATATACAAACTTTATCTACACGTGCCGCGACCGTTCGTCTTCATATCATACTCTACAAGCTTTTTTATTTGGTTCCGATATATTTAGGTAAAAATTATACAATAAAAATTGTTTTTGATGCATAGTTTCTGGTGTCGGTTTTTTTGTTTGTTACGTAGTTTTCCTGGCCAATTTCGTTCTGCCCCTATGTAGATATTGATTCTATTTTGGTAGTTCAAAGGACAAAAGAGCCCCCAAAAGAACAGCGTCCCAAAAAAAGCTCTAATATCGCCTCTCAGCCCCCATCTAAATCGAGCGGGAGGGGCACTGCTCAGCCTGAATCCATTTCTGCCGCCACCTTTAAAAGTTGTCGGCTGCGATCAGTAACATGCCTATCGCTCTTCCAGAAACTCCAACAAAATTTTCCGAGTTTCTTGAGGGTGATAAGCGCGGTCGTAGCATTGTCATTTCCGATGTGAACGGAATACAAGGTGCTACTTCCGCTTCGGCAGGTCAGAGCGACCGGAGGAGAAAGTAAGCACTGTTTAAGGTGCTCCGGATGTCGAATATAGGCCGACTGACGTATATCGGATGGGCAAGCCAGACCCTGGGTGCCCGCGTCTCGTCAAGGTAGTCCTGCATACCAGGGCTCACTGGAGTTGTGCTCCGTGCTTACTTCGCAGTGCTGGGTGGCTAATGTTTTCATTAAAAGAAGCGTGACCGAAGATGAAAGAAAATGCGAGACTGCCGACAGGCGCGAGAGTGAAACAAGGGCAAACTCTCCGCGAGTGGATTTTCTCCCAGGGGCAAATGAAACATGTATGCGACTTGACACAGGGGGCCCGGGAATCCTCTTGCGGTGCACGATAAACCTGCCCTCACTTGTTTCCTGTTGAAGCCTCAGCTTATCAAATAAACTCAAACATTTGCATGCTTGTATTAGTCGAAAAGATCCTAATCCTACATTTATAACTGATACATGGCTTACGCCCACCATTCTCAACTCGGAACTGGTAGCTAATTTGCCTTGTATACTTTATCGCAGTGATAGGAAAGAATGAAGGGGTGTCGGGGTATGATGTTCAATCAAAGGCAATCTTTGCACTCTTTCTTTTGAAACGACTCATTCAACCGAAGCCGATTTGCTCTGCTTTAAACTATTCTGCCCTCGCAACGCGTCACGGATCCGCTTTGCAGCAGTATATCGCCAACCGAATTACTAAAAGGTCAGGATAAAGAACTAGTTGGACTGATAAGATGTGACTTTGCTTTGTCCCACGCCGACAGCGTATTGTAGGACACTGTAGGAGACATTTCCCATCCTCAAATGCCTTCCTGGTCTTCATAGATTCTACCACTGCTGATAGTGAAGTGAAAAACAGCTCAAGCTACATCCACCGTAATTTACCTGATATCTAATTTTACCCTACTGACGCTCGCTCGGTGCTGAGAAGTTCGACGCCTTCAACTAGCGGGTCTTTCGATGGTATACCTCAGATCATATCTAAAAAATGATGTGGGTCACCATGTTATCCACTACATTCTTGTTCAATATATTTTTCATTTTAGGACAGGTCCCCTGCCTTTGGAAGAAAGCTAATAAGTACTGCCATGTCTCAGGCACCCTGGAGGTGCTAGTGTTACTGAATTCAGACCTATCAGCACTACTCCCACACCTGCCAGTCACGGAGAAATTATGTTGAGAAAATTACTATTGTGGTTTCAAGAATTCTATCTTGTCCCAGTTAAACAGCACGGCTTCCTACCCGGAGCTTCCGCATGTACTAGTTTGCCTAATACCTTCCTATGATGTTTCTGGGCAATAAACTGGGAAAGGTCTGTTGACATTATCCATCTCGACCTTTTAAAGGTCTTCGATAGTCTGTTATCCTAAACTCATTAACAAACTGGAGCACTACGGAACTGAGGGTACTGCTTCGAACTGAATCAACTCGCACCTTAACGACAGGGGCATAACAGTGCGAGTTGGTGCTAGTTACGCTACTGAGTACATCTGTTCTAGAGGAGTTCCCTAGGGTGGAGCACTATCACCTTTACTGTTCTTGTTTTGCACCATTTGGCTGGCACAAATACCCAAAACACGTAGCCATGTTTACACGCGCAGGTATACGTAGATGACATTAAAACCTACGCTTCGTATGAATGCTTAAATAGAGTAGTCATACAAGAAGCACTGGAGTTGTCAGTCGAGGAAATGTGACTATGGGCATCTAACTGGGATATTCCCTTAAGTCTGAGCGAATGCTTGACGATGGAGTTTTGGAACTCTGCTGCGACTGACTTCGTCGCAAATGGAATAAAACCTCCAACTTGTGACCTGACTAAAAACATTGGAATTATTTTTGATTCCACTCGAAAGGCATTTGCCGCCATGTTCGCGATAGTCAGGGATATCAAATGCTCGTATCCGACCATACTACTGCGCCTTTACAAAAGCCTATCTAGAGTATTGCTCGCAGTGTTGGGTACACCTCACAAAAAAGACATTCTCAAGGTAGAACGGATCCATCAAGTATTCACGCGTATTCTTTGGTGCAGGTCTACACTTTGTGTAAGCCGGCTCCGTTCACCCTCCTACGGCGCTCAAACGCTTTTCTTTCAAGTTCTTGCAGTACATACGGGTAGCGGCCAACCTAGTTTCAGTTTTAGGGTTCTCCGCAAAAGATAAAGCTGCGTGCTAGTAAGTACTGGTGTTTCAAACCCACAAGTGAAAGGTTGGGTGGGTTCAACCTTCACTATACCAACATTTATCCGGGACGGCACTATTTGATAATTAACAATTTTTTCTATGATTGCGCGAAATGGCTCGAACTGCTCCTGCCTGAGGTGCTACAGGCATACAGCAGCAAGATATTCAAAGAAAGGCTGAGCAAGATCGATTTATTGCGAACATTGCGCATTCCCGAGTATATATGGTACTCTCTTGCTATTTTTCAGGCAATTACTGCGTTGGTGTTTATCCTACAGCTTCCTTGCTTAAGGCCAAATGAGACCCCACTTTCTAGCTTCTAACTTCTTTTTATCTGTGTGGTTGGTGGGCACTCTTTCAAGTTGAATTTGAATAAAAGAATGAACAAACAAATTTGCTATGATCAAAGACAATTCGGGACAATTCCGGCTCGATGTACATAGTTAGCTCTTTGCGCAACTGAAACAACTGATATCCCGTCTAAATACCCCTTCCACGTCCTTTCCGCCACGGTATCTCGTACAGCCTCTATTTTTACTACTTTGAAGAGCCTTATTTTACGCAAAGTTGGCGAATTTTTCGCTCATTTTATCACCGATGCACTATTCCTTAACAGTACTTCGGCTCTTCGAAATGGGGAAAGTAAAGTGCGCCTAACGCCTGACTAGTACTGCGTTGCAGAGGAGCCTTGTAACAAATTAGTTACTAACTTGAATCACACTTATGAAAATTGCCGAGCGTCGTTGTACTAAATTCCGCTACATTAAATAGTGCGAGTTATGAATTTATCATAATCACACAAGAAAGCTCCAAAAAAAAAGACGAAATTATCTTTTTCCGAGCTTCTTTCGATTACGGTCCGCCTTTATGAATTTCGCTACTGAAATCATAGTAGGAGAAAGTATGTTTTACCTCGATTAGGTCAGTCGCTGTAAGTGCGGAAAACATCAACCCGTCAATCATGTTTTCACAGAAGACCTCTTTGTACTGTGGGAGACCAATATCTTCTAGCCACTTTTGTGTCTAGAAATACAAGAGCATCACATCAACAGCCTTGCAAATCTAACCATAAGTTCTATGGCAAACCATGTGCATATCCCAATTACTGACTGCATTCCCGGAATCGTCTTCAATCCGCCGCAACAATAAGTTCAATCTCTTTCTATGTAGAGGAGTTCTTATTCCGAGGATCTGAAATATTAGACACTAGACAATAGCTTTCGTTTTCGTAAAACAAGTAGCTTACTATTTCATACTCGTTATCATTCATATTGAGAAAATGTCGACCCGATCGCACATACTTCGACACTTCCGGCATGTATTGAGCGAAGCCTACTTCGCCCATCCATTCAGCTAGCTGCTCTGATTTCCAGTCGACAAACTGTGATAAAGGTGGAAACAGCTCCACATTTCCCGGCTCACTTATGAAGCGAACAGATGATGCAGACCTCAAATTGCTTACAGTTTGGATGGAAATAGATAAGCATGATACACACAAACTCTTAAGAAAGCAAAAAACGGGTCGGATGATCCTTCAGTGAAGCCCAGTGCAAAGTCATCTTAAATCACAAGTTTGCTCCTGTTTTTAACCTCTCAGTTCTGAACAATTCTAGAATCGAAGTATTCCGGGAAGTATGCAGAATTATTTGACACTTACGTAACGCAATAAATGCAATTAGTTATGGTATTACTCTACTTAGTGGACGTGGACATAGCGTGCCGCTCGGAACATCCAGATGAAATACTTCTATTTAAGTTACTATACAGACGAAAAGTACCGGGATGTTCCCTTTTTGAGCGTCGCACTGCCGTTCTGATCTTGCGATGTACTTCGAGTAAACTTCATGAACAAATTTCGTATTGAAGATCGCGTTCGGTCTCGTTTCAGAGTTTTTTCACCGGAAATGTGTGAAGGAGTAGTGGTTCCTCTACTTCCTCTAGCGACTTCGTCATCTGATTCCACTAAACACAACGAACTTCAACGCCATGGATCTATTGCATATAAACGGCAAACACACCAGCTGATCCACCTGATGTCATAGAGTATTTCTTTGTTGGAAGCGCCAAAGTCGACGATGCCTAGAAACAGCTCAGTTGTGTGTCGTTCTCCGAATGGAAAGTACCCGTTAAATTGACTCTCAACAAACCTTATGACCCATCCCTCGAGGTAAGCTTGCCGTTGCGTACACTTGATTCGCATGCGTTTCATTACCTAGTCGACGCAGTTCATCCAATTCGGCGGCAAGTTGGCGAGCAGCAGGAGATGACGGAGATCGACAACTGTGATTAAACTGGGCTAATGCGAAACAACAATCATGGCTGAAGTGAATTACTGATCAGTTCATACAGTTGGTTCACTAAGATGTAATATTGAAATAAAAAGCGAATGACTTTCTTAACGAGTTTATTGCAGTTACTGCCGATTCGGGACCACCGTACCATCTTACCCGTATCACCCGCTGAGTGTGTCTGTAGGTGAGTTTGCGTGTATTTACATATGCATGTGTGTTTGTCTGAGCGAATTTCATAACTCCTATCCCGCTGAAATAGGATTACAGGCGCAGGATAGAGACACCTATTGGATGCGGGGTCTTAAAGGCGCAGTTCACGATAAAAATGGTTTATGAGATTCCCCCACAGGATGAGTTTGAGGAACCCGCGTATACCATGTCTGGCACTATTAGATCTGAAAACAGCTTAGTCAAGGAGTTCTAAAGGCTCAAAGATTGACCCATGGGCACCCTCGAACGAGTTTCACCGGCATTGTAGAGGCTGCACCGATCACAAGGGAACCCATAAAGGAAGTTCAAACAACTTGTCATGACCCAAGGCGATAGTGAAAGACAGTTCTTTACAGTTCTTGCTTGATGTTGTCAGTTCTTTGTGCAATTGCAACAACTGGAATCTTGTCCTAATACCCCTTCCATGTTATTTTCGTCATGGCAATTTCGTCCAACCTCTATTTTAACTAATTTTGAGGAGCCACATTTTTCACGAAATCGGCGAATTCTCTCGCTTTCTTCACTACCGATAAACTATTCCCGATCTATACATCCGCTTTATTCGAATGAAAACGGGTACCCCGAAATTATCGTGAACTGTGCCTTCAAGTGTGCGCGGTATAAATGTTTTAGCGAAAATTCCTAACTGCTGTTCTTGCGAACCTAGAACGATAAAACTTTGCAGGAGAACAGGCAACCTTATGGGAATAATTATGATAGGAGGCAGGACTAGACTCCACCCACAAGAGGCGGAGCGTGAGCTAAAATCCACTTTGGAACAATAGAGGGTTAAAGCTTGTGAGGAATTTCGGCGGGAAGATGGGAACACTTAGTGGTAGGAATGAACTCCTCCCACAGGGAACGGGGCGTGAGTGAAAATTGTTAACTTGAACCTGGGGTAAGGGTGCAGGCGGTAGGATGGAAATGTTGATGGGTGGTAACACGACTTGACACCGCCCTTAAGGGACGAGGTGTGCGAGAATATCACTAATTAGGACATAGGGCGTTCAAAGCTGGCATGAGTACAAGCAGCAGGATAAGGGCATCGATGTTGGGTAGTAGTAAGTGAGAGAACTAGATGCAGCTCGAGGGAGCGTAGGGTTATGGAAGGAGTGGACCATGCGTGAAATGAGCGTAACTCTAGTGAAAACATGCAGCAAAGTTGGAATAGGAGGGGAATGAATCATATCACTTGAACACACATGACTTGAGTAGGACTTCGATCATAACGGGCATACTGCGCATCGGCGTAACGGTGTATGCTTCGCCGAAAATCAGGTGCTCCTGTCCTCTTGGACCAGAGCTTTTAAACAAGGGAGAGTACATGGGACTAGACAACCACAGAAGGCAAGAAAGAGGAGAGCCTGACGTCAGCATGGCGATCCGATTGGTTTACGCATAACGCGCTATATGTGTCTCTTGGTTTTCGGTGTGTTGGTGTGCGTGTGTGTATGTGTGTGTTTATTTACTTGAACGGAAATTTGTAGCTTTTGTTTGCGTGGTCCTAGAGCTTGCCAAATTTCATGTCCCACGGACGACAGGATGGGAATATTGATGACATTTGGAAGGATTGAGTTCCACTCGTTCGGGCGTACCGATCTTAAAAGACACTTTTCTCAGGTCGATAGCGCTCGAAATTCGAAGGGATACAGGCAGCAGGATCGAAACATATGATGGTAGGAGTTGGGAAGTTACTGAGCTAGAGGTCGCCAGCGGAAAGGGGAGCGTGCACGAAATGAGCGTTTAATTAGAAATTCATAACTCCTGTTTGCTCTTAGAGTTTTCCAGTTTGGAAGGGATATAGGCGGCAGAATGGGAACACTGTAGATATATGGCGAAACTTGACTCCGCCCGCGAAAGCGGAGCGTCCGAAACGAGCGTTACCCAACAGGCAGTCAAGCTGGAACAAGTAAGGCCTGAACCAGTTATTTGAACACCCATTATTTGAGTCAGATTTCTCTCATAGCAGGCGAGGTACGCACTAAGGGCTTCAAGGTGGGTGTACACAGAATACTCAGGTGTTATGATTCTCCTAATACAGATCGTCCAAATGTGGAAGGAGTGCAGTAGGCGGGCAGAATTTACCACATAAAGGAAGAGAGTGTGCGTCAACCAACCCGACTAGTACTAATACGAATAAGATTTAGCAGAACTTTCAGAGACGTCGCCCGATGGCTCTGTGTTGGCAATGATTGTAATCAGTTGTTGTCTGGATGGAACGAATAGGTAATGGTAAGCTATAATAAATGTAGGTACCAGACCTTCTTTCACTCCGTGAGCCGGGTATGGTCGGATACAAGTGACGATTTCCTCCTTGCGACCAGCTATGGTAAGACGAGGCAGTTGAAAGCGACGAAGTATAGGATGATGAGGGCTGAAACAGTGCACTTCAATTGGTTCACTACTGCCGCAATGGTTATCGGGTATGGATGCATTCGCAACAAACCAACATGAATAGCATAACATTCTTTTGTAAGGACGCCCATAGTTGTTGAGGCTAGTGTGGTGGAACACAGTAAAAAATAGTACCTCCGCACAACAGTAATCTGCATCATCTGTCGTCTCGTTGAACATCGGTTTCTCTAACAGGCGCCAGTAACGTCTCCATTCGCTCCTTTTGCGAGCTAGAGTGGTCCAGTGGATCTTCATCGCTCGAGGATAACGAGGTATAGCACCTTTCGTTCAGTTCTTCCGTGAAACGCCTAGCCATCGCGCTTCGACTCCCCAAGGAATCCAGACAGTAACCTCCCTGGTTACTGTCTGGATTCCTCGTTTAACTTTCAATCCATATCGCCTGTGATCTTCAATTTCTTGGCGAAGGCGACCTACATCCCCTGCTTTGTTCGTTGATGGAACACAAATCCCGGATTCCTTGCTGCCCTTGTGTGTAAAGGGGAAGTCTCAGCATCATCCTTCCCAAAGCGCATTGAGTGACGACGACAGCATGTTCGTTCTGCTTTCATAAAATACAAGTCTTCAAGGCGTACGTCAAAGCAGAAAAGATAGAAGCGTCGAAGAGATGAGTGGGGAGCTGAATGTTCTTCCCCTCCTTAACCTACCTCGATATTTTTAAATGCTCCCCACGCCGAGCGTTACTCTCTGCTTCGAACCAAATCAAAGTTGCTCATAATGTTGACTTCTCGACCTGGATACACAGAGCTTAAGCGTTCGGAGATTTCCGTTCAATGTAAAGGTAGCATTAGGTAATCATCCGTTTCTTGTTGAGTACAGTCTTGAGCCGATGCTCCACAAGCACTGCTAAATCCGGCCAGTATTCGCTATGCCTGCTCGATGTCCCATGTTATAAGCACGGTGTCGCCTGTAATGCGGAGGTGGTTAGTAGCGCCGTCTACCACCACTCCCAAATCCCCCCATACCATGATATTTTCTAGTTCGGCATATGACGAATCTCTTTCTTTACATTGACAACGATTTCCTTAAAGAATGGCAAAATCCTGGTCGTGTAGCTGTTTAGAGCATACAAAGCTTCCTTACACATTGGTAAGGACACCATGGTTTTCCAGAGCTTCAATTACCCCTTTTATCTCGACAGTATCAGAGACCCTCTTGAAATCGATAAAAGTTAGACATAACGAAATCCTGTGTTCTCGCGACACTTTAATGAGTCTTGTGACGATTTAATGCGTGATCGACTCTACTGAACTCTCTTCGAAACCTTGCATGCTCACATGGCTATCCTTCATCTAATATTCTGCCAATCCTGTTCAGGATGAGGAGTCTGAAAAGCCTGTAGATTACAGACAGCAGGCAGATTGGGCGATAATTGCCAATATCGTCTGGATCTCCCTTTTTATACAGCAACACAGCCTCGCCAGTTTTCCACGGAGAGGACACATTGCATTCCGATAGGTACCGCGTGAATAGCCTAGCCAGAGTTCTGACGATGACTATTGAAGACTCTTCAGATGTTCTGGTTTGATCCTATCGGGACCGAGCGCTGTACAGTTCTTCATCGACGTGATGGCATGTCGTATTTCGGAAGGGAAATCTGAAGAAGTGTCATATCCGTCTTGCCTAAGATGTTAGCTAGGCAGGTAGACGGGGTGTGTGTACATTCGTGCGATTCCAACCGCGCGCGGTAAATTGCGCGGCGAAATCCGTGGTGATCCGAACGACTCTGGTGCCTATTATTGGGGGCGCAAATTGAAGAAAAGTAGGTTTTTTGGTCAGCTGACCCTAATAATCTACTCTACTTCAAATTTGGCCCCAATAGTAGGCGCTAAAGTCGTCAAAATCGCTATGAATGTTGCCGCACAATTTGCCGGGCACAGTTCGAATTGCGCGAATGTACCGTCCCCCAGGTAGACGTGGATGTCAAAAAGATCCGAGTAGAAGTCGAAAATGATCTGCGCCATTGCCCTTCGAGATGCAGTAACTATTCCGTCAGGACGACGAAGGAAATTCATCTGCGTTTGTGATTGGCGAAGCACCGACAAGCTTTTCTAATGCCCTTCCTGGCGGCTTGGTCCATAACGACCTTCCTTTCCTCCAGGCCTTCCTTTATCACTTTTTTGCAGAGCTTCGCGAGTTCAGACGTTTGTTGATGAGAGATTCCACACTGGCTAATCAGCTCAAGTGTCTTCGGAGAAGGATATTCCTCGATTACTTTTGAACTCTCTGCTATCCTAGCATTATCGTGGAGAGTTTGACAGCCGCTCGTTTTCTTCATCGATGTTCTCGATTACGAACTTTTTCCAAAAACCCGCAAGGTAGGCGGAGTGTCTCAGTTAAACAGGTCTTGCAGTTCATTCCTTGAACATCGCAGATCGCTCTCCACGCATTGAGAAACAGAATCTAGAGCTGAGGAGACGATGCTGCGATCTCGTATAGAACCTCTGAACGAACAACGGCGACGTCAATCACAGAACGGAACATTCAATTGAAGGTGATGTGGTCCATTTCACATGGTACTGCCTACCTCCCATGTCCATCGTAAATGAGAGCTTCTGGATCTATGAACTACCATGAATAGATGAATAGTGTGGGTCGACATGATAAATCGGACAGTCTTCCACCCTGCTCATTCGATTCTGCTCCGCATGTTGCGATATGTAGCTCTTCAGCCGTTGAAATCCGACAATGACTTCGAGGAAATTGTGGTCCCTAGAAGAGCCTTCCAAGGTCCACAAAAAACGCTTCCAGCTCTTCTTTTTGTAATCTGATGTTGGTACGTAGGCAACGAAGGTTGTTAGAGCTGGGGTTGAGCCACATATTCTTAATCGCAAACTTTCGATTCGGCTTGTCCAACTTTCGAACGAATCGATGTTCACAGCCAAGTGCGAGTTGGCGAGAACATTTACACCGCCGATGCCTTTGCTGTCACATGTCCCAGGGGACAGTCCTTTTCCAGTATCGAAAACGGCGGGCTACGGGCGGTCCCCCTCGTCCCTGTCAGTCCGATGACGTCGTACTTGATCTCTTCGAAGCTTGCATCATCAGATCTTCAACATACGCTTCCGATGCAAGCGTTCTTGCTTCGAAGCTACAGATCACCATCTTAATATTAGGTGGGTGCATTAATTTCCGCCGTTTTTTGCGTGCAAAAACATACTCATTACAAAATTAAAACTAAATGTACATTAACCAATATATTGACCATAGCTATAACTTCTTGCCATCTTTGTGGTATCTTGTTGACTCCGCATTCAAAAAGGTCTTCATCTTTTGAGGCTATCCAGTCATCCACCTATTTTCGCACTTCTTCGGCATTCCGGAAACGTATATCTGCCAAACTGACTTGGATGGACCGGAGTAGATGGTAATCAGAAAGAGCAAGTTCCAGAGAGTATGCAGGCTGAACAAGCTGATCCCGTCCAACAACTGCAATTTTTTTAAAGGAGATTCTCCGCAACATGGGGTCTGGCATGTTCGTGGTGGAACGGCACCTCATGATATTTTCTTGCGATTAAGGTGAGCTTTTAGGTGAGAGCATCCTACAAACTGTCAAGTTGGTGTTCGTAGCGGTCAGCAGTAACAGTCTCGTTCGGGCTCAGCAGCTCATAGTTCAAAACACCCTTTTGATCCCACCACCAAATGCACGCACAGCATTACTTTTTGGCAATAAACATTCCGCTTCCGTTGCAAGCTCTCGAGTGAAGAGAAACGATCTCAGCAGGTTCGTTCAGATGAAGCTTGTCCTCCATAGAAGCATCCGGTGGGCTTCAATACCAGTTTTCTTGAAATCAAACAGCAGGAGAAGGCCCCCCCGGGGAAACGGTTCATCACGTTCCATGACCAATCAGTCTGAGAGCAACAGGATTTTGGGGCAAAACTAATCTGTCTGCCCTTAAGTAGGTGGCCAATACCTTACCTTACAGAACATGACAGGTTTCACCGGTGAGCCTCTAACATGGTTCGCGCAACGGCCCTTGGAATCCGGCGGCGGAAATTAATGCACACACCTAATACTTCTCTGTTTGGGCAGCCTGTTTCGGCGCTGAGATTTAAGCAACCTCCCACGAGAGGTCCTACCCATTGCTGCCTTACTGAAGGCCTCTTCAGGTTCTGGGGAATGAGGCCCATTCATATTACTGTTTTTGGCGTATGAGTTCCCCAGAGTAGCTTGCCAGGCTGTGTCGCGGTGCTGGATTGACTCCGGGTACTGGCCAGCGTATATCAGAGTGGACGGGGCTTTGATTTTGGGCATTCTCCCCGAATCGCCTCTCAAGTACCGGCGACTTTTGGACTGCGATTTACTCCCCTATTCGCCACATGGAATCGCCCTACCTAACATTGATACTAACCGGCTACAGATCCTCCGGTGGTGTAGAACCTTTAGTGAAGGAGATCCTTTGCGGAAATATTTGAAATGGTTCCCTCGCATGACCTCTGCTCAATACCTACTGTTCGTGAACACTCAAACGTTTGTTAGGCATAGATAGGATTAATAGTTGCCCGATGTGCACCACTCGGTATAACAAAATATCTGTGGTCGACATAAAGCTGTAATGACAGGAGCTATCGATTCAAAATTGCTCGAATGCACCTAAGGTACATTCTACAACCTGCCAGATGAGCGTAAAGATTCGAAGTTACCCAACAGTGCCGGGAAAACCCCTCGGAGCCTAACAAGCGCAAGAGCTCTCGTGACTCCCTTGCATAATGTTGGCTGCAACCATACCTGTATTGCCCCTAAATTGTAAGGCGATGAGCAGAGGCGTACAGGAAATGACGTTGAGTGAGTCATTGGCTCCGAAGGCTCTTCCTAAAACAATGTTTGAATTAAATAAAGTCGATTCGTACCCTCCAAAAACCTTAAGTACTTGCCAAAAGCAATCGACGTATTTGTGAATTCAAATCATAAGATGTCGCTTGTTCATAGTGAGGCATCACACAGAACTCTTCCTGTTGAGACTGCAAACAAGGCTTTGGCACGGGTGTAAGTACTATAACGAATAGTGGTGTCAACTCACCCTGGAACGAAGTTCTAAGGCATTGCGAAGACTTTTGATTTGATGATTCTTCTGCTCATTATCGGCTAATAAATGCTGCACAGTATGCCGTAACTGCTGCAACTCTTCATCTGAAGATATATCAGGTTTAAGTGGTAACATAGAAAATACTTTGTACCACAAGACAAAATATTGGTATTTTTCGATGGAATGGATCATTTTGGTATGCGCCTCCCCTAAAAGGTCAAACTTTCATTGGGGACTCTTAAAATAGACGGAAAGTTGAAACAGGCATCTGAAGATTGCTTGTATTTTTCTCTGAAACTTGTTTTGAGCCCTAACTATTCAACTTTCTTCTTGCACGTTGTCCAGTCCAGAACACTTCATCACGGCGAAGTGGTAATGATATCAGCACAGTTAGCCGTAGAGAAAAAATCAAATCTATGTCCACTACGTGGTGATAGTTGATATTCAGCCATAGACAGCTACGAAAGAAAAAGTTGCTCACCTTGCTTCTCCAGTCGATTTTCTCTCAATGCAGGCAAATACGTTGGTCGATCACTGCCACCGTTCGCTTGCGACCGTGACGGTTTCTGGACAGCTTTACCGTGGATTGACTGATTGACGTGGTCAATCTCATCTTGAGACAACTTGAGTTTCCTCTCGGCCTCGCTCTTTTCTTGTTCCAACGTAGCGAATTTGAGCTTGAGACACGAAACTTCGGCCATAAGATTAAGTTTTTTCGGGTCCATGTCTGAAGACTCACCACCATGGTTGTATTTCTGAAGAAAAGAAACTTGGCCCCAGGTATTCCTCTATATAGCCAAGCTATATTTACAAACTGTAAAACTACTTAACTAACCCCGTGAATGAGCTCTTCGGACGAGGTAAGGCTGTTTCGTTTTGCAGCCAACAGAGCTTCCAAATCTCGGATCTTTTCCTTCTGAGCTCCAACCTGCTCGCTTAGAACGGAAACCTAAACATGAGATTATTCATTTTGGCTGTATTGTTAAATAATTTGCTTGCAGTGCGGTATATAATAATGTCGAAGTTTTCGAATAGTTGGTATGTGAACACACTATCATTCGTTGGGCTGATCTTTTCCCTTCATTTGATATCACATATAATCATTACCAATGAAACGTGTTGACGCGACAAATGCATCTATAAGGTGAGGTTGCAAACACGTCCGAGCTTACAAAGGCAGGCTATAAAAGACGCGGAAAGTAGTAGCGGTTGAACACCCCAGAACCTCTGCTTAAGATAAGAGACACTATATCTCTATAGCCATAGTGGATGGCTGAGCCTGTTACTGTTTGCCCAGCTTTGAATATCACCGGTTGTGAGGCCATCATTCAAGAAATGAGTCACTCATTACTCAGTACCATTTCCTTGATACAAAGCAAAGCGTTTCCCTATTATGGGTCAAAAAACTGAAGGTACGTTCACGTGGGCTTTGAAATGTGACTAGCCTACCTTCTACGCGTCTTTGGCAATTGTTTAATAGTCTAATTGTAAGACACAATACCACGCTCTAGGGCTGAGCTAGGTAAGCCCGGTTCATGAAGCTGTCAAGAACTCCCTGGAATGAATATGTGGGCCCCTAAGAATAGCACATGGGATACTGTCTAAAAACGACTTGGATATAGTATAAAAAGGGACCTAAAACCGGATTGCCTGAAGTAAACACCGAAAAAGACCATGTTATAACGACTTGTTAAGCTATACCATTCAGGATGAAGTGCACATGTTGAAAATCTGAGTAACTAGCCGTGCTTCATAGCGACAGTTGATGGCAATTTTTGACCTAATCCCTAGCCAGCTCTACGCAATAGCACACAACTAAGTGTCCATTTAAACCTGAGGCTTTCTTCTAAACACCCTTTCAATTCTCGCGGTTTTTGTCAACTGTGTACTCTTCTGCACAACAACCTCCACTATTTCACCTGAAGGTATCGCGAAATCATTGCAGTTTGCCTTTCAAAACATTCTTGGGCTGAACGGTCAGAGATGACCAGATGACCACGGGACATTGGAGGAACTGTAAACAATGAAGTGCAGTCGACAGTGAAGCGGGGACGTTGTACAAGATTTGCTCCAGATGGAGCCACACCCGCTAAATGATCAGTTGTTGTTCCTTATTGTTGCTCTGCTGGCCGTGAGTACCGAACACCAGTAGCTAGCTTGTTGCTTGATACCTTCGCATGTTCTTCTATCTTTTACATCTTCACCCTGATGCCCCCCATCCTGTGATGACCCTGTTGGGCTCATCACCTACTATGCCAAGCACTCCTGGCAGCAGTGAGTACGAGCCCTGCTTCTTTTGCAGGACTCACTGAAGCGACCTTAGGGAATTGATTCCACTCTGTTCAATTCTGTCCTATCTGGGCGGGGCCACCGTCTCAAAACCAACACATCCAGGGTCATGGCGCACGACCTGGCCAGCTGTTTGGTGCTTCTTCTTTAATAACTCTTAGCCTCCAACAACAGGGTGTGAGAAATAAAGATTTCAGAAGTTCTTGAAACAGTGCTATTTACGGGCGCTGCGTTGGATAATGATGGTATGAATGGTTTTTGATAATCGAAAGGATGGAGTTTTGCACGATACTGCACGGATTGCAAAGCTTATGATATGCAAAAGAATTGAGAACATGTGCTAAAACAATTGTCAACTGTAAACAGAACATCTTCAAGGGAGAACTTCATAGTTAATGAGACCAAGCTTGGAAATAATGGAAAAGCAGATTATCATTAAAGGTTTGTGAAGTCACCTAATGTGAATGACTGACAAATCACATGATTCTCAGTTGATTGCGCCATGCCCTCGACCACGAACCAAAACTATATGGTTGTTTGAAAACTTTCTAAGGGCACAGTTCACGTGGTAAATGGTTTCCAAGGTTTCGTTCCAGAATCAACCTGTGCTGCAAGGATAGTACAAGGGACCCTCCGGGTCGGAAAACAGTTTGGTTGAGCGTGACAAAGGCCCCAAAATCGGCTTAGCCGACGTAAAACCTGAGGCGGACGAGTTGCTAAGCGTTGTAAAAGCTGTAGAGGTTGCACCATCCGCGTTGAGACCCACTCCTTGCATGCAGACAGCGTATTGCAGCTAACTGTATGCAAGGGTGCTCGTGCACGAACAGCTCGTCCGAATATTTCTTCCAAACAGCTTTTCTCGAAACATTCTCGTCCAACCCCTAACCTTGCTTCTTTTTCGAATCCTTACATTACTCTAAATATGCTTCGCGTTTCCTTAGCCACTTTGCACTATTCTGAATCAAAACTTCCATTATTCGTCTTCAACTAAACAACCCAATATTATCGTACTGCGCCCTGGAACTACACAAGGCATGCGGCTGCTTGTCGACAGAAAATTCCGTTCTTTTTTAATGTTGTAAGCCTTCTGACTGACTGCGAACCACTAGAATTCTTGGTGAGCCTAGCGAAACTTCAAAGCTAAGTAGAGAGCAACGGTCTGTGAACTCCTAGGCGTTGTGCTCCTCACTCATTGTCAGAGAGATTATCACGAGGTGACTTCTTAGCTTGTAAGTTTATGAGAATGAGCCTCCTAATAGCTAGCCGAGCTCATAAGTTCGGAAAAGTATCAAGGAAAACCGGATTATCGACATAAAACAAGCTTCAGTAATGTTATATCATTGTGTAGACAACTCGGTAGAGTGTCATGGTTTCACAATTCGATAAAGTCTCAAGGATTTCAAGTAACGCAGTAGGTTAGTACTCAGTTACTGAAGATAGCACTTCAGGTAGCATAAAATGAAAAAAGGTTTGAGGGAAACTTTTTGTCCCGGCAGTGGTCTTTCAAAGAATCAAAGTCGCAAGTGAACACAGTAGGAGTTCCTCGCAAACAATTTGTGAATAAAACGTGAAAAATGATCCTTATGACGACCCCAAACTATGAAAATGGTCACAAGGGTTATAGGAATAAACAAGTGGAGTATTTCCTGCAAGCAGGCTCAACATCAGAGTACGGGAGAGAATCGATGCCGTGGAAATCCGAAGATTGGCAATCAGAAGAAGAGCTACAAAACAATAAGATTCATCTAATGAACAGCCTCTGTCTTTGAAAAGCTGAAGGTTTCTACGCACGAATTCATGAAAATAGGAAGTTGGGGTTCTATACAGAATACAGAAGACTTTCTATTTTTCAGAAAGAAATCTATCCCATAATGCCGCGGTTATTTCTATGGAACTTATTAAGACTCATAAAGTTGAATAGTGAATCAATCAAGAAGTTTGGAAGTAACAGTTCTTTAAAGGCACTAACACGTACGGAGACAGTAGTCCTAGTAGAACAACGGCAATGTTTGAAAGTAATGAATGATGCGCATTACTCGATTGAGAAATAGACTTTTACTCAAATTTAATGAAGTTAACAACCTAATGAAAACTAACCTGCAATGAAAGACTATCTCGGGCCATAGCCAAGCGATGCAACTTCTCCTGTAATTCTGGATATTCTGGACAAGAAACAGTTGACATTGAAGGAGATGGGCTCTAAAAGGTGCCATAATTGAATTTAATGATGCTGTGCAGTTGCTATTACCAGGTTCTTTATGACTATTTTAAGATACATTTTTTAGTCGTAATGCTTTCTCAAGACACCCACATGCAAAAAGTACATGCAACAAACAAATCAAGAGAACTTCTATGAGATGGAGTCTATTGCATTAGATAGTCAAAGCAACTGAAGTGTAATTGACAAAGCTCACACTGCAGACTGCTGACCTTCATAGGCTCAAAGTCCTGATCATGGACCTAGTGATCCCTTTACAAGCAGTTGTGGAGGAGTCCAGATTGCGCATTAGCCAGCTTTTGCTAATGGAAATCGCATTGGGAGAATTATTAATGGTGCCAGAGCAGGAGCGATAGTCACGTTCTAATGAAACTCAGCCCCGTTCTCGTCCTTTTGAAGTAGACAGCTTCCTCAATCTATTCCAGAAGACAAATGCGTATCCTAGCCACTTTCACCGAAACACAAGCACAGAAGTTAAACGCATCAGAGTCGAATGCGAAGGAGTTGAATAGATCTTAGAACGAAAACCTTTCATCGTTTCATTCTTTCTAGAATTTATTCGAGAGAGAACATTTTCGAAAAAAGGAAGTGATGAGCGAAAGAGTATGCTGTTTTTCTGCACTCTTACATCGGTGAATGCTGGTGCGTATAAACAGGTCATATACATTTAATATATGTATATATGGTTGACATGATTTCATGGTTGACATATGATAACCTCATAGCAACACTAAGGGCAGAGGCAGTGCACAGGGTGGGCCAAAATCATGATAAAAGCGCGTGCTGACGCTCATACCTATCTTTTTCTGAGCTTATAACATTTCATTCGAATTATTCCCTTTCTCATATATCTCATGAAGTATTCTGCGCAGCCCTTATACGAGTAGACAAGATTCCCCCAGTGAGCTGGCTAAAAAAAGACAAAGGTTGGCTCGCAAAAGCTGCCCTCCCGCGTCCCGCACTGGAAAAAATCGTCGTACGGAATTCCTGTTCAACAACGAAAAGATATTCACGGATAAAAAGGTACTCAGTGAGCAGGACGAGAAGATTTATATAAAGCAGAAAGGAATGAAAGTGATACAGCGCTAGGCTCACTGACATTCTGCGATACCCTGGCGAGCGTCACCACAAGCAAAAAAAACCGATTATTTTTGTAAATTAAGGAGTGAAAGTTGATTTGAAGGCCGTTTGATCTCACCGTGCGCTGTAGGACACTTCTGCGATTCAAACAGAACATATTGTCAAGATGAAGCTCCTGATCGCAGATCAGAAAGCGTCCAGAACTTTCGTAAAAGGAGTCCCTCGACTCTGTAACGTTCGATCAGTGATCATTTAGGAGCTTTCACTTAGATCCCGCACGTCTCAGTGTGGTCAACCATGGAGATAAAAGCAATGGCTAGCCCAAACAAGAACTGAAATAATTTCGAGAATGCCTTGCAAGAAGCCGGGATCAACCAGATGAATATAGCTAAGTGCCACCATCATCGTCTGTGGGGTTGAGTAAAATCAGAAAGCAACAGATCTCAGTTTCAATGTACCATTTTAATAAGAGATTAGTGATAAAAACTTCTCTGAAAATGGTTTGCTCTACTAGTTTCCTATTCGTTTTCGGGAATGTGATGTCTGTGTAATCACGATTTTGGCCCACCCTGTAGTGGCAAGTGGCGGACTATCACACATGCATGGTCGAGGCTTCGAATCCCGGATCGATATCGCCTAGACCATTCATGCCGTCCATCCCGACGGAGTCGGCATTGGTACTAAACACGTGTGGGAGACTAAAAGCACTGACTTGTGCATCAGCTGGCCACCGCAAGTCATTGTATAAGCCACATACGCATTCAATACCCCACTACGATTCTGAATGGAAGACCATGCGCGGGCGTTTTCTTCAGACGGAATTGATCGACGTTCGGACACTTTTTCTTTTTTTATCCCCAGTTTCGAATGAAATTGAGAAGATACTATCTATCACATTCGATGGTTCTTGAGATGTCGTAATTCATGCGATACTCACCTTCGATTTTGATTTGCGAGCTGCCATGCTGACATCATCAGAATATCTAACAAAACATTAGAACTTAGTGTAAAGACAATCATAAGAAGAGATCGGCTAATTTATAAGAACAGTTCGGCTATGCAACAGAAAAGCAACTCGAAATGAATATCATTAATATTGAAGGAAGGATCAACAAGAAGCCAATAAAGATTTCTATGAAACAGACGACAGAATACGATGAAGCAAAATTTTTGTGATTGCCGTTGGAGAGAGGCTAAAATGAATGTTCCAGCTCATGTTTCACATGATGGGGTGTTAAGGGAGCGAACTGAAATAGAAGTGAGAAATAGAAGAAATGGATGCATTCGCAAATTCAACGTTATTGGACCCTACGATAACTCAAAAGTAAAGGATAGAGAATCCAGAAGCCGGTGGTTAAACTTTCGACACTGTTCGAGCTAAGGGTTTCGATAACGTGGATAACAGAGAAATAGTGAAAAGCATTTGGGGCACTGGATCAAGTTGAATTTGTAGCAAAAAGCGAGACAGCATTGTTCGCCTACAACCTGCACATTCCCAACAGTTGTTCGGTTAGATATCTACATAACTGCTGATAGGTTAAATCCGACATCAGCCGGCGGTCAACGATTTAATAGCAATGACACCAATGAACGTCAGATGGTTTGATTAGTGGATGGGAAAAACCAACTTACACATACAATAGACGACGTCAAATAGCAATCGGGAGTGAAGTTAATTGCTCACCAAACTACACTGACTATTCCATCGTATTCCACATGTACGTCGTTGCACGCTCGCTGTTGCAACTTTAGCCGAATATTGTATTGAGTATTTAGAATCGCTGAAGCTGCGATGAATTTTGTGCTGCTTGCTTCGCCGACGATACGGTGGAGGTGGCGGTAAATAGGAGTATGACGAACCGGATGAGAGCGCCGAGTCGAACCCCGAATCTGAGTGCTGGGTCACGTACGGTAGAACGACCGACCTACGAGAATATCGGTTTCGTGTTGCGATGGTGTTCATTTCACTACTACACTCGGCGTGTTCAATTCAATTTCCTCCGAACACCCTCATAAAATTCATTGTTATTGTTTCGTTGAAGAAAAAAAAATGCGTATCGACCTGTTTACAGAGCAAGAAGCGCATAAATTCGTAATCAACCCAATCCGAGGACGAAAATTGTAAGCGTTCCAGTTAAGCACTCAATTTCCTCTCGGGGAGCAGCTAAATCGAAAAATTGTCAAATTTGCAGCACTGCACCGCAGTCTGAAGTATAGTTGGATAAACGCTGTTCACACTTAATGGCACCATTCACGACTAAAAGTTATTGAGATCTTACCTTATTAATACACAGCGGCCCCCATGGGTTGTTGAAGGGACCCTCTCACTCCCCCAATCTCGACGTCCAGGGCGTAGTGGCAGCTCCGTTGTTGACGTAACTCGCATCTCCGCCCCTCGACTGATGTCACTCAGACGAGTGTCGAGACGACACAGCGTCATGTAATCGCGTCAGGACCCACCCTGAACTGCAATTTGGCAAATTGCCAGAGACGCAATGTGTTGTTTACTATTGCAGACAACACACTGCGTCTCTGGTCTGGCAACTTGCCAATTTGNTTTTTTTGACCCTTTGTAATTCTTTTTGTTTGTCTTTTTTTGCGGTTCTTTCGCTGTCATCGCTTTATTCTAGAGTAGTTCTATCAATTCCCGTCAAAAAAGGGTAAACTACATTTTTTGCTAGCGGTGCCTTTAATGGAGAGTAAGCCGCGCAGTCAACCATATGCTTTGCTTACCCTACAGTGAACTTCTTACTAATCCGTCACACCAAAAGTTACTGTAACTCCACCACATCATAAACCACTCTAAGTTCAGGATCGACGGTGAGGATGATTGGTAAACAAAGGCGAAGAGATTCTGATAAGAGTACCTGATCGGTTTGAAGGATTCACGGAACGCGATAGCATTTGTGGTGCTTCTGGCAATACAGGCGTACTGCTGATCATTTGAGTACACATCGATTTGGCTATTATTAGAAGAGCTGACGAATGAAGGCTGCGAAGAAGTATTGCCAGACAATATCGTAGATGGGATTATCGACCATTGTGCGCTCATTCCACGAGCGATCAGAAGCTCAATACAAGGAATTCAGGAGCAGCAGCAGATAATGCTTAATAGAGGAATGCAGGTGAATGCCGGATGTGCAATGCCAATGGTGGAGGATACCTGCAGTCACTGGGCTGGCAGCAACTGTCCTCTCGGCATTTTCTCCTCCGCTTCACACACATACACACCCGGCCACACCCTTGCTCTGCTTTCTGTGAAGAATTTTTGATGTCATTCAGCACAAAAATCATTTGTTCAACGCATATTTCCTATTACCCGATTGCTTGCACTATATTCATCAATCAACCCAATTCAGTTGGACAAAGACGTTCCTTAAAATATTCTATTCAGTAACCAGCAATGTGCTGAGAAAACGAAAAATAGGAAGCTGAAAGGAGAAGCCGTTACTGGCCGACATTTATGGCAATGAACGAACAAAAAGGGGGCACGCTGCCAGCTAATGCTAATTATGTTAGCATTGGAAAGCCTACGGGTCCGAAAACGACGAGTTGATCATTACGCCAGGTCCACCATATATGTATGAGGCAAAAATAAATACAAATATGAGCGGATATATGCTTTCAGATTCCTCTTATCAATACGCAAGTATGTGTACGATCAGGCCGGAGTATGTCAATATTGTGATAAGTGCACAGTGAGACGAAATGTTCCATGGGAAAATGACTTGTCGTGTGGTTAACCAAATTGTAGAAGATTCAAATGGAATCAGTGAAAATGGTGGACACGAGATCGAGACCTAGACTGAATCATAAATGGGAAAGGGGAGGGAGGAAGGGGTGAGGGAGAGGGGGGGGGGGTTAGAGTCGGCACCATTACCGCGCCTGCAGGGATGCTTGCGAGACAAAGACCAGCCCCATTCCGCTCAGTAATTTATTTAAGCAAACGCGCTAATACCCAAAAAGCAGAAACGTTTCCTTAAAGAACCTTTTTCAAATCTTCTGTTCAAATTCTAAGTTCCTCTCCCTTGCGTATACCATTGATCACATCTAAGTCATTAGGCTGTGACCTCTCGTCATTACAAGCATAACTATTCCCGTGAAGACACCTGTTGTTCCTAGACAGATTCTAATCGTTCCTGAGGCGCCGAATTCCTTGTTTTGTAGCTTTGATGCTCTCTGAAGAGGTGCCTGTGAGGGATCTTCCATTACACTTTGCCGAATATATGCGGAACAGAGAGCGGTACGAAATGAGAACGAGGACAGAGAATGACTCTGTCGTCATTCTCATTTCGACGACTCCAACACTTCTGCTAGCAGTATTCCACAAGGGCGCAATTCTTTACATAAGCTATTAAGTATCCAAAGGAAAAATAGCATGCACGGAAGGAGGTTGAAATTCCAGCACTTCAGACCGAACTCAGCACCAAAGCAACACAGAGAAAGGGCAGGCATACATGAAACGGAGCCACTAAGTAATTAGGAAGAAGTAATGGATAGAAATCGTCGTCATACTCACGGAACTGCCAACTAGCCATCGCATTATTTTCAGCTGTGTCTCCAAGTCTGGTCGCTCGGTTATTGCGTGCTCCTCAATAGCCTGAAACTCTAATTTATAGCTCTCGATCGAAACCGCCACTCTAGAATTTTAGAGTGAATTTCCGGGGAACAAGGTTTTCTCCGATACCTTAACAAAATCACAGTAAATTTTCGGATGATTAAAGAGTGACGACGATGATGTTGGAATATCTGATGGTGGCGATTCGACTTCTGACGAGCCATCAGATCCTAAAGCGTACAAGTTATCCTCGTATTCATCGAGGTGCACTAGTACCCCGGAACGTTCTTAAGGAGTAGTTTGCTCCAGATTATGATTTACCAACCGTGTGAGTGCTTGGGATTTCCGAAATTTTTCTTGACTGTGCCTATCCACACTTGGTAAAATTTAGTGCTATTTGGAGCAGCCTACCCTCATATATGAATGAAGGATATGTTTTTTTGATATTTCGAACTTTATACGCTATGGAAAACGTTGTCGAAATGAGTTGAATAATCAACAGGCACAATTAGTGTCCGCGTCTGCAACGAAGTCTCCCTTCCCTTCGCAAACGAATTCAGATGCTTGGTAAACGAGTTTTGGTGTTAGGCTGATTCTGGAATACTGTAGATGTTGAATTCGGTTTAGAAGTTGAATGTTCAACATATTTATCCGAATGAACTGGGTATGGTAAAATGCCCGTTAATTATGTTCTTTCATNGTATCATCGTAGCATTCATTTCTGGCCAGATTTTTTTGCTATGCTTTTACGTTGCTATGCTGCTGCCAAGCTGCTGAAACTCCCAAAACCTCACATAGCAGAACGGACTAAGTCAGTGCGAAGGGTTTCTAAAGGAGATGCTCAGATAAATGGGTTGGAAAGAAAGGTTACGCTCTCATGATTGAGAGCTTATTGGATAAAAATCGTAATTCAGCAATCGAAACGTTGAAAATAAGAGTAGTTCAAAATAGTTCCTTGACGTGCAAAAAAAGGCAAAACATAATCTTGTGCAGAGGCTGGCGGAAACAAAAAGCTGATAATCACGCTACTTGAAGTGAATACTTATCACTGATGTGCTACATAGCTGAGATACATACATGGATGAGTAGGTCTGAACTTCTTGTTTTTAATGAAGTCTCTCATTCGATCAATACCTTTGGTGGTTTGTTGGTATACTTGAAGCGTTTTGGATTACCGCTAAAGAACCCCTTATGAACAGGAATAGTGTGTGGCCATAACCTGCGAACTCGCACCCTTCCTTGACCTTGTAAGATTTGATCTACGACGAGCTCAGAAGGGGATGCTACTGGTTATTTTAAAGTAACAGTCATTACGAGGGTGGTCGTCCTCCTATCTTAGCGGCGGACTCCATCCATACATCCTAGTTTCAGAGTAACGATTGCCGAGGAGTACAGCAAAGAAAAAATGTCTCGGAAGTGCACACATTCAGATGTACACGAAACTAGTAACCAAAGATACAGTTTTTTTGAAAGTTCGCGCAAAACCAGCACTGGAAAGTGAGTAGAACTGCCGGAAGTGCACACCGTTACTGTTAAGGCCTATGAGTGGTGAAGCGCATTACCGAACATATTACAATAACCAAGATTCACAAAAGTTCATCATCATAAATGCCGTATTCTAACAATCCCCCCCCCCCTAAAACAAGGATCTGTTGTTTTAAAACATTTGAAATGCCTCTGACTACATCTGCCCGATGGTCACGCATAACGCTGGAATTCATTTCACTGGAACGCGTTTTTTGGCAACAACAAAACGAAATTATCCATAGTGAGATACGAAGAGGAGTGTTTTTCTGAATAATTCTGATGAAGCATTATAGAATGACAACTCCGCTTCCACCTTCTCCCTAGAAAAACAGCATGCTCATTAAGAAAAAACCACATATGTTTATTGAGTAGCACCGTACCTACACACTCAGCGCCTCAGACCAACTCATATTCTTTCGGCGACAAATTCAAACAATAGGTCAATATTCCTCCGAAATAAGTGATCCCCATTTGTGATAAAGGCTTTGCTGAATGAGAATTCCCGCAAACTGCTCCGACTAATTGAAGGATTTAACTAGAACACTTCCACAATGGAGCCTTAAGAGTGCTATCATGATGAGCAGGAATCGAAAAGTAGCGAAGAACACTTACAGAAGTGCAAGTCTAATTTTTGATATGACCTAAATTCAAGGAGGAAAGAAGTACCGTAAGTAGACCGGAATGACTTCTTTACTGTAAATGAATCAGGAAAAAACGTGCACATTTTGGCTACCTGTGACATCTCCCCAATCCTTGTTGCTCCAGTCGCCGGTTTTCGTCGAACGATCGTCATCAACGTCTCGGGCAACAGCGCTAGTCAACTCTATAGCTGTAAAACACAAAACAAATATTTGCACGATATTGGCCTATCTGTTGGTTGCCGTTAGCGAGAGTGAGTTATACTTCACATGAAAAGTAATGAGAAATGCTGTACATTAGTAGCAGCCACATTTACCTCTATCGACATTACGCATGCCCTTTTCATTTGGCAAACAGCGTTCCTGAACGAGAGAAGGCGGCGGATGATTTTTAACACACTCCGATGTAGCCTTACTGCCTAGAATATTTGACATGAGGAATAAAGGGCAACTACCGCTTCCTCGTGAAGGGGAAAAGGGAGCGGAAAATATGTAGTAGGGAAGGATGTTCGGTCGTTGACGGAGAATTTGGTTGTTCCACTCTGTCTGGATGAATCTAGCATCATGCATACAGGATTAAAGTGTGTGAGCTTAGTGGCAAGCATTTAGAAATGACATTTTGCAGTGTACTGTATGAAATGAGGCGAAAGAACCATGTGCTGCTAGTAAGTCCTACTTTGAACGAAATGCTATAAAAGGATATCAAAAACGCCCAGTCGATGGAATCGATGGAATCTCATTTGGCATAGCGTTTCGACGTCTTCACTTACCAGGGAGGGGTAGTCTACTTATCTTGGAACTTTGAATTCAGACCCAGATAAACAGATGGAGTTTCGAATGCTGTTTACGAAAATGCAAATTAAAACTGCAAAATGATTCTCCTTAAAAAGTTATGGGGGCCCGAATTTTGCTCGACAGTAGTATCAATCGGAAATGCGAACTCGTCGCTTTCATATCAAACGCCCACGTGACCTAGTGGTAGTGGTCTCGCTTCGTGGGCGTAAAATGAGGGGTCCCTCCCCGCCATTCTCCGCACTTTTGCAAAGTGTTTTTTCACTTTATCAAAGGCTTTCTAAACGTTTTTTGACATTTCTTTATACAATTGATACTATTGTCGAGCAAAATTCGGGCCCCCATAACTTTTTAAGGAGAATCATTTTGCAATTTTAATTTCCATTTTCGTAAACAGCATTCGAAACTCTATCGATTTATCTGGGTCTGAATTCAAAGTTCCAAGATAAGTAGACTACCCCTCCCTGGTTAGCATCTTCGTTGACTTTAATAGTGACTAATCTTGGTAAAGTGGTAAGTCAAGATTTTACTGTCGAACTCATCTACAAAAAAATTAAGATGAAATGGGCAATCGAGATCTCAGTAAGATATGCAGTAGATAGCATATGGAATTGATCGAAAACCGCTATGATGAGAGAAAGCAATATGAGACGTTCTCGGCTGGATGCCAACGCGCTTTCTCAGGGTAAAATTGGCTAAGAATGAACGTGCTGCATCCCCGAGCCGAGACAAGTGGTTTTGTTCCGTTTTTTTACTGTTTTGGGTGAGACCTATGAATGAACACCGCGGTCAATCGATGCTCAACAACTAATCGTAAAGAACAATCATCAGACGGATGCCTAACTCATTTTATTCAGGGAGTGAGTTAGAGTGTGGAAGTAATCGAATTGCGTGCAATCTGTTTGCGGGCTAGCCAGCATTTATGGCGGCCATTACGCCAACGGGCGTGCTGCGACGCCGCTATTGTACTGATTGTGTTCTCAGTCAGCATTCCTTCGTTTTTTTTTCTGCTCCTCCACATCGGAATTCCGTCGTTTCACGTTGTAATGTGGCCAACATTTCAAGCAGCAGTGCAGCACATCAAACTACTTCAGTTGAAAGCTATTATCTGTATGAGCGTGATGTTGTCGATCGACACGAATACTATTCAGAATTCAGAAAAGCTAAAACACTGGAAAGCTGTCCATCTCTCTCTGTGCTCGTCAAGAACTCGCACGGATGAGATCCGGTGAAATGAGGTGACAAGAAGAAACCCTGAAGTCATTTCGTACTAACTTCATGTCAAGTAAGGTTTTGCCGACAGGATTTCCGTTACTGCTCATCTTTTGCTCAAACTCCCCCAACCTCTCTATGTGTTAGGCAGTTGGCTAGACGAGAGTGCCGTAAAGAAAGTGGAGATGTTTTTTCACAATGTGACTGACTAATGGGAAAGTTTCCTCATATCATAGTCCACAATTGCTCTGGAATCAATCCCCATTAGATACAATAACAAAGACCATACAATTGCACATTTTTATGGTGAGCACAGATACCATGAGCAAGCAAACCACGGAGGGTTATATGAATAACGTCCGTAGCGCCATTTGTGGCACAGCCACTCACGGTCAGCGAGACCATCTTATTTAATTATAATGTTTTTATCAGTTATTAGTTTATTTTATTTATTATTTTTCTAGAATGACGCGCTCTCACATACCGTGTTGGAAATATAAGCACTAAGTAAACACAGGCTAAGTATCAAGTCAATAAATTGAGAAGTGGATGGAAGTCGTACCATCTGAACGTTATTTCAAGAAAGATGCCTAGAATTAAGGTAAAGGGTATAGTTGAGAACTGTGAAAAGATGACAAGAGAGAAAGGCCTACGGCTACCACAAGAGGAATTCGCGGCAGACACCCGCATCAGTTGGCAATGGTGTCCTTGGCGCCACATTCGGGGTCATAGGATTTGGGTTTTTTTTCTGTCAGCACACTAAGGTTTTTCAGGAAATAAGCAGAATATTTGATACAGTTGGCAATTATATGAAATGACATGTTAAATTAGTCTCTGACACTCACGCAAACGATGTCGAGGATAGTGACTTGGACGTGTTGTGTCACAGATCCACAAAGCGGTGGAATTGTGGGTTATTGGCATTTCAATTTCGACGGGCTGTTGTTTGTCTCTCATTACAACCGTTTCTACTAAGAGTGCGAAGGTAATATTTCGTATGCATGTGGCGAACTACATCAAATGAGCTCGGTCACTTCGTATGCAATCAAATCTGTGTACCCTTTACAGGTCTTAGGCGGTGTCGTATGAGGCAACTTCTCGGGATTCTACTCTGTTTTCATCAACCAGCCTTTAAACAGCTGAGCTTCTTACCTCAGATACTCAGCCATAAAGCATTCTGTAAACGCATCTAAATTTTTCCTTTCGAGAGCCACATTATAAGTAACTGATACAACATTTCACAAAGTGATACGGCTTGCAAAGCTCTACAATCACGTGGAAGCCCCAACTGGCACCCGACGGATGGAAAATCACATTATAAAAGGTGGATGTTGAACATCGACTGAAGGCTAACATCCATTCGATCCGAACACACCACGTAGAGAAGCCGCTGAACTTCACTTGTTCCACCAAATACAAGCAATTGTACCTACCTCTCGATAAATTTCTTAGACGTCGACTCTCAATCGCTCAAAAAGGTCCAATGAGAAACTAGTAGGAAATGAAAATCTCGTAGACATTCATAAGAACGCTGAATATTCTACGCTGCTATTCCGCTTTTCTGACTACACGTTCTTTCCATATCGCCCGGGTTTGAAAAAGCACATGACGGTATTGTCAACGGTAAAGAAGTGAGGAGTGCTAGCAATGAGATGTTTCACGTCAGCGATTCCAACTTGAAACAATGTCCTTCGTAGCAGGTAAGGCGTCACATCGAACAAAAATGAGGAGTTTTTTCGAGTCTCGATCAGACTCGAGTCAAAGCCAATGTCGGTTCGAAAGTTAGCGGCTGACTGACGTTAACCGAAGAAAATGCTGCTTCGACTAGATCGCCACTGGAAACAGATAAATTGACTGTCAGAGAAAGTATTCGCATCCGTTTGACCACTTCTGAATTCTTTGGAACATTGTAATGATAAGGAGAACCTTCTGCTGAAGTTACTGACGAGAACGGCAGGAAAATTTATTGAACTTCCAAAACGTTGAAAACTTGCTTGAAAAAAACCAAGCTCTTGTCGTCTCCATAAATAGCAAAAAAACTGGTATAGATTAAAAAGGAGAATATCATACTGCACCATTATTCAAATCGTGTATGCTCAGATGTCCCTTTGTCCACAATAGCTGTCAATCGCTCGCCACGCGAGCAACATTGTATAAAAAAAAAGCAATTACAATCAGTGTTCTGCAAAGCCGACAGCCATTTCAAGCCGAACCATCATAATGAGCATCTACGTGATTTCGGAAGAAGTATTACTAGAGTGATGAGTGAATACCGAAAGTCTCTAAAACAACCACCAAACAATCTGTCGTGCTGAGACAAGAGCGTTATATTGCCCTGGAAAAGTGTTGAAGTGGGAGTGGGTGTGAAGAGAAAGAAAAGATCCACGGAGCTCTGAAGAAGCGGAAAAAATTCGCTCCGCCCAGTAGCGAAATCAACGCATGCATAGCTAGAGGAGGTTCGAAACAAGAGAGTTGGAGTATTCAGGTAACGAACGTAAACGAATGGGGTCACATCGGCAGCAACCACCACACTTGGCTCTAAGTGACCAGTTATGAAAAAAGCTGAAGTCTCCAGTCAACAGAAAGAAAAGGAAATAGGGGAATAAAGAAGAACGGTCAGCGATAAAATAGAAAAGGGCGCATGAAACAGTAGCATACGAGTGCGGAAATCTGGAAAAATGACAGCCATTAGGCGTGTTGTTGTTTGTTTTCAGACAGCTTCTGGGAATGAGAAAAATAACATTGAAAAAAGAAAGCGAAATTCTGTAAGCGTTTGTTAATTACTACTGAAGGATTCATGATACGATGCTCCGATATTGTGAAGAAGTACCAAGATAAGTTAGGACAGAGAATCTGCTGCGAGTTGGCGGAGGAGCAAATTTGCTACAAATGCCGCTGGCCACTCATTACATCAGCCACATCCATGACTCATTCTGCTGCGAAAATGTGCTGTGCGGAGCACATTCAAATATGCACGACGCTATGCCCTCACCCAACCATGTACACCCAAAGTAACTCCAAACCAACTGCTGACCTCGTCAACCCCGCCCCTTGACCCTAGCGAGCAAAATGTTTATTGCGCCATATATATGACTGGTGATGGTGAAGTGAAGTTTGCTCATAGTACAGGGAGGTTGATTGAACCCGTAAATCAGTACTAATCGAAAGTATTGAACCAATGTGGGCCTGGAATTAGTCACAGGTCTTACCATCGAGAGAATGACGCCTCAAAAACGAAAGATTCTAGTCCAATAGAATGCCGTCCAAAATAACAGTTTTTGTGTTTCTCCCGTTGTGCTACGCCCAGCCAGAACCGACACGTCAGAAAAAGCAGATGCAAGTTCCCATTCAATTATTAATTCTTATTAATTATTAATTGTCAAAAAATGACAGTTTCCAGGTGGTCCAGGAAAAGGATAGGCTAAGTTTTA